TCGCGCCCTTGTTCGCGTTTCGCGACCGCGACGCTCTCTTTCAGACCGCGCCGCGGAAAACAACGCGGAACATTATCTTCCTTTCCAAGGAATCGCGTCGACAGACGCGCCCGGCGACGCCGCACGTTCGCCTTGTTCGTCATTATTCCGCCGGTGACAAAGAACTTTACCGACGGATTTTCTTCGCCGCATCGACGCCTCTTAAACGATCGTTGTTTGCGCGGAACGGACCGAGCCGACGTTCGTAATTATTGTACCGCGTTCGAGCATCCGTGTCAATATCCGCGCCAATTCGCCCGAGTTTCTAACGGCGGAATGGAAATTATTGTTAATGACGAACTCGAAGGCGCGCACCGGTATTCGTTCCGAGCCGCAGCCGCAACTCGGCATCGCGCGCGTTAAAATGCCAAGAAATCGTGACACGGCGGAGCGAGTTCGCCGCGTTTATTATGCGGAATGCCGGAGAGAAGGAAGTGGCACATAATTTTTATGAGAAAGAAGCTCTGTGCCCCCTTTGAAAACACCGATATCAAATATGAATTCGATCGACTAATTCATTCTTGCAGTCAGTTTGAAAAATGTGTTTTCGAGAAAAACAGATTGAAACGTTCGAGGACCGGGACAGACTTCGCGTGAAAACAAACGATGCATCGAGGCGCCTTTTGTTAGGGGCGCTTCAAAGAGAAAGAAGTGAGGAAAAATTAAAACAATTAATGAAGATGCTACGATTACCGTGTCGGAGAGTAGCTTTCCATAAAAGATTGGTTAAATAGAGGCGCGGAGCGTTATTAATGATCTCTCTGGCTTAAAAAGCAAGGCAAATAAATGTTTAAAATACCGCGTCTTCGCTCGACGATAATGTTATGTAAGAAAATGTTTCGATAGAAAGAAGGAGCGAATAATCGTATGCTTGTTGCGTTGCTTGCTCCCAACGAAACAATTTTGCCTTTTGCGGAGCTGCACGAGCACAGAGTTTCGTTCAGGCCACGGCGCGGCAAAGGTAGAGAATGACAACTGGACAATCTCCGTAACGAAACTCGTTTAAACGTGCCGTGACTCGATGCACGAACGCGCGAATGTCTCGTGCACACAAACTGCGCATCGAGGAAGGCACCGTTCGAGTACGAAAGATCGAAGAATCATCCTCGCGTTTGGCCCGAGTCGGCTCGCGAACGAAACGACGAATATAGAGGGTGGTTCCACGGAAATTAGGGACATTTTTTTCTACCTTTCGTCCGGGCTAGCATCGATTTTAATTAATTCGCGCGTTAATGGAATTTCGGTGGCCGTTCGTGTCAGGCCGTACTTAGGTGTTTATTGGCAATCGTGGAGGCGCGTGCTGTAAGAGGATTGCGGAGCCGATCCCGACGTTTCCAATCTCGTATCCTTTACCTGGTCCTAGCTCAGCACCACTCCGACTATGGCTTTTTACCTTACGGCGAGGAAAAAGCGGCGCGATACTCTGCCGACCGTAAACACGAGAAAATTATCGTAAGCCCGGGTAAAAGGTGGCGCCGGCAATGTAATGCAAGACTTCCCGTTGTTTATATCCTTTGCCCCTTTAAAGCGAACGGGGGATAAAACAACGGCAACATATAGTAACGTCGTCTGTTCGTTAGTCGCACAGAAAATTTTCAATTACTTTCTTGTTTCGACGACGACGTAACTCCTACGCGAATCGATGCCTCCAAGTTTTTGCATTACGTCGTCGTTGCTACGAAACGTTCCAGGATTTGAGAGATCAAAGTCGTCAACCCTTATCCGGATTATTTCGCGATCAAAATTCGAAATGTCTTCGAACGGGAACTGTTCGACCGTAGAACGTACGCACCCCCTGGGGCGCGAAACGCGTTAATATCGATGAGTCGAAATTCTGGATCGTCCGACGATCGATTGCGTGGGTAGAAAACGAGATCGCGGCTCGAGAAGAGAGTTGCACCGGATCGTGTGCGTGTCGTACAATGTTGCACGCACCGGGACTGACGCAATGAGAGAGAAAGACAGATGGTAAAACAATAGCCATGAAAGCACGAAGGGGTGAGACACGACTATAGAAAGCAGAATAAAGGTGCCAGGTAATGTGATATATGGGATCGATTTGAATCCGGCGTTTAAGCCGCGAGCCATAATTCAATCTCAATCGTTTTCTTCTCTCTTCTGCCACGTATATCTGTTCTTTCTACTTCTCCGGTTCCCTCTTGCTCTTGCTCGCCCATGTAGTATCCCCCAAGGGCACGTTCGATACTCGATATATACTTAGGTACATCCGAGCTACTCTCGTACTACTTGGTCGTGCATCGTATAATATATACGCATATCACGAATCGTTGACTCCTTAAAGTCTCGTTCACACCGCTTTTTCGACGATGGAGATTTATAGCACCCCGTTTTCTTCCCCCCGCGCGAAACGAAGAGATACTTCCTTCCTTCTCGTCGTGTCGAAATAACTCCTAACGTTTCCCTGCGTTACTTCCTGCTATACTGCGATTGTAAGTATTTTTTTCGTAGGGGGTCAGAAAAGCTGTAAGATTTTAAACAACATAGAAATTAATATCGGATTTGCGAAGGGATGCAAGGGGAAGATGCGCGTTTGAAGTGGAGTTACACGCTTGGTGACCCTCAAGCCTTGTACATATCGCACACGCATTGGCTTTTATGCAGGAATGTACGTGTAAGAACGCGTGTCGAGTTGTCTGGGTTGGGCTACACAAGAGACGAAGAGCCGACGACATTAAGAGAGGGACTCCAAAGGGTAGTCTGTCAGGGTACCGAAATAAGGTAATTAATATTAATGCGGAAATACACCGATGAAACGTAAAATTCCGCAATTTTGGGAGTTTACTTCGAGTGCCGGAAACACGAATATATTAATAAAAACGAAGACATATACATACGTGAGAACGATGTACATAATTTTAAATAGGCAGAGAACCTAAAAGAAAATATGAACTGGCTGGGAAGTAATTCAAAAATATGAAATAAAATGTTACCGTACCATCATTCGTTTCGAAGAAAATGAACTTTGAAAATACATGGAGTACACGGTTGATTAAGAAATTACTTGAATCGTACGCCTTTTATTTCCGGATATTCTGTACGCTTTGTCACGATTTATTAAATCCGCTGTGCCATATTTCGTTTATCACTCGTTCTTTTACAAAACGTCCCATCGGCCGTAGAGCGTTTCAAATGTATTCCGCTTAAAATTCAATACACTTTTATGCAGTCGTGCACACGATCCCTGCACAGAGCCTGGCGTGTAGGCTTTTAATAAGCGGAAAAATTACAATCAAGATGGCTCGGTGAACGCGAGTCATGCAGAAAACACCGAACTGCCGTGCAATTCCACCGGGTCGCAGTGGTAATCAAGCTAATAATAAACGAGGCAAAAGAACGAAATCTCTCTCTCCTTCTGTTTTTAAGAATATCAACCTCCCCAAGGACGACGTTTAAGTACCTACAGACTCTCGTTGCGTTACCCGAGTTGCTCGTGCTAGACTCTAAATCGTCGCATAACCGTGCAAATGTCGTTTGCAAATTAAAACAAGGCATATTACTGCATTGTTTTTTCATTTTGAGTATCGATAAAATGTTGAAAGCTACTTCTATCGATATTCTAAAGATCTTTGTAACTTTTAGACTAATCTTAATATATTTCGTATCTGTTCTCTATTTATATTCTATTTTAGAAAAACGCTATACGTATATGTTCTTTATATATTGTAGTAATGAAACTATGCTTGACTCGGTAGGAGCACGAGGCAATTTCGAATCGGAGTGGAAAAGGACGAACCCTCGCGCGGAAGGGAGAAAACAAGCGCGAGGGAAATAAAGAGCGAGACACGGACATGGGGTCCCGTGCACGTTCGTTTCTGCAGAAGAAGACGAAGAGGTTAGCTTGGGGGGTGGGGGGGGCAACGGAACGGGAACCGCGCGGGCAGTGCACGCGCAGACGCCGGGACGCGCGCATCTCGTGTGCATTCGCGCTCTTCCAACGCCGCAGGAGGAGCCCGCGAAATCTCGATTAACGCGGCATTGTGCAACGTGCCTCGCGACCGTGATCACGACCAATATACCATCGTCGCGGTTACGCGTCCAGTTAGTTTTCGATTCGTCGACCATTTCGCTCGAAGCTCATCACAGCCACAATGACACGAAGAATGATTTACAACAGTAATCGTCCAACTTCTCTTCCACGCAAGAAACATCGGTTTTCATATGGTTATCGATGGTCAACCATGACATTCAGGGTTAGTGTTTAAAAGCAACTTCGTTGATTCCTCGACGTTCGTATACATTGTCTCCAATGATTACAAATGATAATCGATGTCCAACAGCGTGAAGTTGTCAATGGTGATGACCTGACCGTAGTTGCTCTCGAATCGTCGTATTGTTGGCGAATAACTGGAATCGTAATATTCGAACAGTTCTCGAAACAGGTACGAAACCTCGAGATAGATTTTCGGTCATCGTGAAAGGTAAACATAATCGGAGAGAAGCGCCGCGGGCGAATTCTTTCGAAGGACGTAGCAGTGTTATCGCTCGGTGCAGGAGAGCATTGTTCGTCACAAGATCGCGAGCGAATCATCGCGGGAGAAATTACCGTAGCGTCGTCGTCGTTCTTTACCACGTGTTTTTCGTCGGCACGTTGCATTTAAAGTCGCGTTACGTTATTTCGGGCGCGTGCAATCGTGGCGAGTGAATAATACCGCGAGTGTCACGATGCGTTCTCGTCGAATAGTTGTCGTGCCGAAAACTGTCGCCGTGTAGAAAGTCGGGCGGAAGGAATTTCGTGGAATTGACGATCGCGAATTCGAGAATACGCCGGTGGAACCGGTTATATCGTGGGACCGAGCCGCGGCAAAGGGTCGACTCCGATAGAAGGGAGCAATCTGCGGGAAATAGCGTGCGCTTGGTATTTCGACGATCCGCTGTCGGTTTCACGCGGCAATGACGGCCAAAGAGGGCGCAACAGGAATTTGACGGTAGTGATTACAGTGTGACAGCGAAGTGCGATCGAACAGGTGCATCGAACGTCGAACGACGTCGTTTCGCTTCGGACAACGATGAGGTATCGAAAAGTGGCGTTTCTTCACCACTAGCTGCCTCGTTCATCAGTGGCTGGTGAGGTTTTCTTCGACAAATTATTTTTATAATCATTTTATATCGAAAAAATAGGACGCTACACCCGAGTCATTTATTACCCATGATTTCTTTTACTGTTCACCATATTTTTGTCTGATCTTTAAATACATAAACTCGTGTCACGATACTATTTATACAATATTTTTAACGATGCACGCGTGTTTGCGTATATTGGACCACATAACAAGTAGAATTGAATATTTCAATGTGTCAGATTTTAATTTGAACAAATTTCGAGGATGTCCGATCCACGACCTTATTTCTTGAGACTAATAAAATATTGCCCTGCTCTGTTCTACAGTAATCGTAGCCAGATCAAGTCATTGTATATTCATCGATCTCTACTGGAATCGTTTTTTGGAGCGATCAAGTATCACGTTGCCAATTTGTCTATCGCGGAGAGTATTTGGAGCATCGCGTCAGATCGTTCCACGAAATGATCGAGCAGACATGTGACCAGTGTCTTTGAAAGTGCAGTCGGTCTGTAAGAGTATCGCGAGTGGTGCATCCGTTCGTTCGCGTACGTTATCTTCGTGGTCGCCTTTCCTCTTTCATCGTGTCTGTTTCTCCGTTCTTCTGTGTCCCCTCTGCTCGCCGATCGGTGGTCGTTTTTCCTTCTCAGGAGGGACCCGGCCGAGTAGCGAGAATTAATGTTGGAGTGCGGGAGGGATTTCGAACCAGTAGCTATTTCCGCTATTGTCGCGGTCTCTGTCCCCTCGTCGGTCTCTCCGCGTATGTTCCATATCTCGAACAACGATTTTTACAGAGAGATACATCGGGAACAATACCAGTAGGGCGGCGATTAATAACCGAGTATGTAATTATTCGATGATAGAGACCAATAAAGGCGAACGGCTGGGAACCGTGAAGGAACAAAAACACCGAGGGGGAAATCCGGTCGTTGGAAGAAGTCGATGATGGCGCACGGTTTGCTCTCTCTCTCTCTCTCTCTCTCTCTCTCTCTCTCTCTCTCTCTCTCTCTCTCTCTCTCTTCCCCAAAGCGAAGTCTTACTCTAATTTCAGCGAGGTGCGACAGCTTCGGCTCCGTCGTCTATCTCGGCCTGTTTTCGCGAAGGTTCGCCAAGAGAGAAACGTAACAGACAGACGCGCGTGTACTCGTCGATAAAAGGGAGACGCAAGACGAAGCGGAGACGAATCGCTTGTCCTCTAGTCGCTTTCCTTCAGCCCGTCGAGAGATAAGTGCATGAGAGATGAGAGGGCAAGAAAAACAGAATTCCCTCTTTGCGCCTTCACAGACAGACGAAGTGCGCGCCTTCAAAGAGGACCGGCCAGACATGTCCTGGAATTAGAATTGTTACGTTGTTCACCGCGAGCGAGATTCGGTCCATCGGGGGTTTCGAATCTCGGTGTACGCCGTCGATTCGATAACGACGAATTTTATGAATGAAGGCTGAGAGATCGTTGGAACAAACGTTGAGGACGCGCGGAGAATTGTCTTTCGCGCTCGTACTCCATTACGTATAAAACAATATTAGTTTGGTCGCGTCAATGGCACAGGTGTTTATAAATAATTACCGTCGCCGTGAGAGGGGTAGCGCGGATAAAGAGAGACGAACGTCGAATAACATTCGGCGGCGCAGGTAGACGGATAGGGGTGGGAACGCGAGGGACGGAAAATTAGATGACGAGAGGAGGGTGGCGGAGAGTTTCATTTTGAACGAGAAGCATTCTCTGCGTTCGTCCGGCTCGATCTAAACGGGCAATATTAGCTATTGACATTGGCTCATGGGGTTTATCGATGGTCGGCTAAGTGATGGCGTTGGTTCGAGGCCGCCTCGTACAGGGTATTTCGGTCCTGTCTCGGCCTCGCGATCGGTCGTTACAAGTTAGCCGAACGAGCGCTGATTTTCTCACTTTTCCCCTCGGAGATTCGATTTTGGCGTTCACGATCGTCGCTACAGCTGTCGGACCTGTCTCGGGTTCACGATCCGTGCGCCGTTCGCCGATGTTCGTGACCTATCCACAAAGCTTCCCGTTGGGGTTCACGGACGCTCGTAAAACTTGGCGTCGTGGGTAGGTGCGCGTATGCGTTTTCATGCTCTTGCTCCTAGCAGTTTGTCTCTTTCGAATGGCATCTGGTATAAATGGAAGTTTCCTTCCGAACGGACTTTTGTCCCGGGTTTCGTATTCAACGCGCGCCTCGCTCCCCCGGCAATAACCGTGCACGATCCCGGAGAAAAGATTTCGATAAAATCATGGTCGTACGCTTTTTTATTTATCTATTTAGACGCGATGCACCGTAGATATTTGATCCTTGTCGCGTTTCCTTATATCATAAAACCATCTTTTTTAATCATTCCTTCTTCACACGCTCGAAAGAAGCTTCCCTTGTTTTTAATAATGCGCCCTTAGGAATTTATTTTCCAATGGGTTAATTTCTATACAGTGGGCCCACATAGGTGTGCAACGAAGCACAGGCATTGTATAACTTTTCGAACATAACAGGTCCATGGAAACGAATCGACATTGCCATGACAAATCTGAATTGGCTCCGGGCTTTATTCAATTATTCGTTACAACGGCAAGAGAAAAACAGAATGGGTGTACGTACAATGCATAAATCTCGCGTCCTATTCACGTCATTTAAAACCCGTACTATCGAGAATACGTATATCAAACAATCGGGTCTTTGGAACTTGGTAACGCGACACTTGGACGTATTCAAAGGGAACTTATTTCTCGTACATCAATTATGAGGTCTAGAACGATCCTCTTGGAAGCGTAACGAACCGTCAGACGATATTACTCTCAAGGTCTTGGAGTCATCCGCATAAAGGAGACATTGATAAACGGATATAGTAGGGGACCAAGATGAGAGTCTCGGGTGATGTCTGGGAGCAGCATATTTTATACATGTAGTTTGAAAAATCCGTCGAAAATTGGAGTCGAATCGGTGGAAATTAAGGGCGGACGATAATTTCAGGGTAACCATTCAATTTCGCGTTTAAGCTTGCGGAGGTTATTGTGCAATGTGATATGGCGCGTAGGGTAGACGGCTCGATGTCTCTCATATTTCCGGACCCGATAATTATTCATTTTCCTGCGCGTAATTTGGCTTAATTTAATTGCAAACGACGGTTCGTCCTGTGCGTTTGTAGACATCCCTGGGTCCCTTCCTGCCGGTTTATCTCCAACGGTAATAACCCTTTATGGATTCCGCAGGCTGGCTTAATATAAACTGCGATTTAATTGCCGAGCAGCTCGATAAATCATGCATCGGTCATAAATTTTCAAGGGAGACGTTCGCGCGAAGGTGGACGAAACGCGATCGGGTCTCGCAAGGAAACGAAACGTTGTCGACGCGAAACTCGGAACGACCATCCTAGATTCACCAGTCCATTGTTCGTGGTCGCGCGTTCCCATGGGTAAAATAACAGCAGGAAATGTTACGAAAATGGTACGGAACCGCAGAAACGCGTGAATTGGCACGTCATCGTGATGGTCGGCGAAACTCACCGGTGACCGGTTGATTCGATTCCAAATCCTTGGCCCGCTCGAATCCCACGATTATTCAGCACCGGCTGTAATTATCGAGTCACGTACGCTTCTCTCGCGTCATTAAATTCATCCGCCGCTATCGATAACTTCGCCCGAACTACATGCCGCTGCTCGTTCGGCTGTCGAGATTAATTTCGATTTCTAGCCACAGTTTCTCTGTCTCCCTCTTCGCCCGGTGGATCGTTCGTATTCTCTTGGTTCGATTAAATACTCCGTTGAATGTTACTCAGTTACGGAAGAGAGTTTCGCGAACGGTATAAGCAAGCATCCGGGTTGATGGAAAGCGGTAACTAGAGCGAAATAGTCGACAGGGGTGAGAAAACAGGCGAAAGAGGAATACCGTGAATTCTAGAGCTACCGAAGGCACAGGAAACGCCGTGGAATATTGGTTGCTGCTCGATCGAGCGTCGTCGAGAGGAATTTCTTCCTTCGAATCTGTGCGAGCTCGCCAGGCCGTCGACCTCCGGCAGCTACTTTGCGAATCATTCGCGGTTTAGGGGAGAAAAAGTACCGGTAGTAGGTTCGTTGCTAATTAAGAAGGCGTGCGAGGCCTGATGGGATAGCTACGCGTGCAGTCGTCGTTGCGATCGTGCCGCGAACATCAAGTGCCCGCAGACGAGATCTCAATGCCGGTCGTCGGTTGTTGTTTCCGAGAGTTTGTTGTCCTTTTGGAGGTACGCGGGAAAGAAGGAGGTCGCGGAACAGACGAGTCGTCCGCGCCACGAGCGATTAGGCAGATGCGGTCCTTTTTGTTGCACTCGAACGCAGAGGCGGAACAACACTCGCGCGTGCATAAAAGAGCGAACTCGAACGAATCGACACCATCTGGTGTACCTGAGTGGCTGCTGCGTTACACTTGAAAGCTCACCGCTCTCGAGTGACGCGGCTCTCCTATGCCGCGGGTGCATTCATTGCGTAATTAACGTCTCGTAATTATGGCCGCGAAAGAGGAGCGAGCGAGAGAGAGAGAGTCTGGACGTCTCGTGGTCGCGCGCAAGCGTCCTCGTAGCGACTGGATATTATGAGCTTTCATGGGGGCTTCACGTGAATAAGGCGCTTGGCGTCTCTGAAGAGGGTGTTACGTGCATTATAGACCTCTCGACGATGGACCGAGTGTTCGTCAACGAGCCGTTCATCGTTCGTTCAAGGTGCAGCCGCGTCTTGGCCTCCTCTTTGATGACCAGTTCAACGTCTCCGTTTTTTTTCGCGCGCGGACGGTCTCCGTTTCCTCCTCGTCGCCGCCCGGCACCTAAATTCGTATCGCTCGCGTCTTTGTGACTCCGCTCGATTCAGCGGTTACGCCGCGATCTTCTCCGCGAGGAAACCGCGATGTCGACGAACCGACGCGACGGCCAGACTGCTTCGCGGGGAAACCAATGGCGGCGATCATTCTTGCCCGAGGCTCCACTTACGACGAATGGAACCGTACGACCTCTCCGTTCCGTAGGCGCCTTAAGAGC